CTCAGTGTAGCTAACCATCGGTGAACATCATCCCGAGCTCCCCAGCCAGGGAGCCCAACGGGGCCTTTGTGACCTAGTTTCCTGGTTAGGGTTTTCATACCCTCATGCCAGGTCTTAGCTTGACCACCCTTTGTTTTTTTCTTCAATCGCTACCAGCCTTGGCAAACATCGTTCGCCGTGGCAACCTATCTGGTGACATGCGTAACACATGTCCCAACCAGTGTAATCTATGGAGGTCGATCACTGGCTCTAGTGGACGACCGCGACTGCTTAAAGCTCTAAACCTAACCTCAGCATTGCTAGTCCGGTTACCCCACCAGACACGTGCAATGCTATGTAGACAAGCGGTGCTCGAACACCGATAATCTATTTTTATCCTGTTTCCTCAGTGGCCAAGTCTCTGCAACGTAGAGCTAGACTGGCCGAAGAATAAGTCGTTCAACATGAAGATTTCTCCATGATGCACTCGGTAATCTCGGAGTCAAATTCAAAGCTGTCGCTTTTCTTGTCCCGTTAGGTTTGTTGGCACAACTTGAATCGATTGATCGAGTCGAGAGAGAAATGAAAAATTGCATAATGTTTCGCTGTTTCATGTACTGTTATGAATGTCGAAATTTTAAACCTGCCAGTTTCAACCCTTATTTTTGATTACGAAGAAATTTGCGGGGTTCACTCATCACAGCTGCTGAACAAGGACCACTGTCAGATCGCCGAAATCGTTGGCAGTATTTCGTTCCACCACCATGTACTCATGGCGACCTGGTGGTAAAAAGCACAACAAACACAGTCAAATCTAGTCGGTTTTGGTGTTCTTCTTTGTGCAAACAAGGTTCGGTTGATCGGATTCAAGCTTGATGATAACCCCTGAATACCAACCGGACGGCGCTTATGTGATAGGATTATACTCACTGCCCTTCATCCAAATGGGGTTGCCAAAAGAGAACAACCGGCACTAAGGTGCTGGCTGGAAAGTGGTTGTACTAACCGAATTGATACACTATCCGGATAAGGTCGCTGGTTCAATGTGTACAGGGAGAATCGAACTTGTCCCGTTAGGTTCGATGTGTTAATACGGTATGATCGTTATGATCTGTTCCAAGTATTGGTCAACGTGAGTAACTAACGGAATAACGAAAGTTCCACGAGGCATGCATTTTTCTAATCTGGGAGATTTGTATCTACTATTATAACAGTAATAACAAACTACTAGAATCGTACCGATGAATGCTTACAAAATAAGTGAAGCTTGACACCCGAGTTGCTTTATCGGGGAGGAATTTATTTATTCAATCGAAAACATCACACTGGCTGTGGACCTTGGTTCCAACCAAATGAAGACGTAGGAATCCTACATACACACACACCTGATTGTTGCAGCGATCGGTGGTATTATTCATCGAGGTGTATTGGACATCTTGAACGTTTGATGCCGTCCAAAAGGCATGTGATCCGATGAACTGGACATCGGCCCCCAATGGATTACGGTTTTCACACACCGCCTCGCTGTCTTGCGAATCACGCTTTGGTTAGTCAAAGAGTCCGATTATTAATTCGCTAAGAAAATTCCCCTGCTTTGGCCTAGGCACGTAACAATATCGCGCTCACAAGCAAGCAGATCATGGAACTTTTTCTTTTCATAAAGATTACTGTACTACTGTTCGCTTGACCTACAGACGTCTGGACTCTGACGTGTGTGATATATATTTATCTCGTTCAGGGCAAGAAATCACACCATAGGTCGAATTTCGAAGTTTGTCGGAACTGACTGATTGTTACTTCTGGGCGGTTTCAATAGCAGGCTATACAAAAGATGTGATATTTGGGCGAACAGACGTTTTCCATTTTTAGATCCTCATTCCAGTGCAATCTGATTTTTAATCATTCTAAAATGCACGGAACTCGCATAAACTCAGCTTATTTCTTTATCAGGCAAGTAGTCAATCATAATCCACTCGGCTTTGAAATTAGGCACTGGTTCGTTCGCCTGTGTGTGTGTGTGTTACACTTGTTGGTTGCTAAAACTGGTTTACCCGGTCACCAGTGATGCCATAGCCCGGGAATGAAATCATCAAAATGATAGGTTGGTCCACATTCTGTGTTTGTTTGATTGTCACCGATGTGTCCCTTTCGTACTCTGGAGGGCGTGTTATCTGCGTGCTCTATGTAGATTGTACAGCTTTCCTCCGGTTGCCCATCCAATACCAACATTTTACAGACCATTAAAAAAATCTCCAAAATGTTCGTATTGAGTAGACAGCAGGGGGGGGGGAACTGTGCGATCTAGAGTACGCTAATGACATCGTTTGCCTGTTCGATTATATGGAGGATGCGCCAGTGTGCGGTCAGCTCTGCTCTGTGGTGGCGAGACTCTAAATTTGCGGGTGGAAGATATTCGTCGTCTTGAAGTATTCGACTGCAGATGTTTACGTAGTTTGGCACGGGTTGAATGGAACAAGCGTGTAAGCAACTCTGAGGTTAGTCGTCGCGTATTTGGTAATGATTCGATGGAGAGTTCGTTGTCCCATCGCACTCAGATTAGTCGGCTTCGGTGGTTAGGACACGTGTTGTGCATGCCCAGCTATCGTCTACCGCGCCTGTGTTCATAACCCACCCTTTTCTATATATCGTCAAGCCCCGTTCGATCGAGCACACGTCCCTTCATGAAAATCGTTCATTTCATTGTGTATCCAGTATATATAAAAAGAGGCCATTGAACTTTTCACAATTTCAACATATAACTCCAGTCTGCCAGACAACAATTTAAGAAATATAAAAGGAGTAAAAGTATTATGATTGGTACCATATGATTAGAAATTGATTAAACAATGAGTCAAGTGACGTTGTTTTGGATAGCTATGTCGTCCCTGACGGATGAATGTAGATGATTTCATGATCCATTCTTCCCTACACTCCGAAGTTATGTTCCCGTGGTGACGATGGGACATTTATCAACCCGCCAAGAGTGGACGTCCACTGTTGCTGTTTCGTTGGCTGTATATCGCGTCTACCTGTATCAGTTAGTGCACTTGGCGAGATATACCTTTTTGGTCATCGATTCCCTGTCCTACTGGTTACTCCACTGTCTCTCTCTCTGTTTTTGTTGTAGCAAGAATGCACATGGTTCACTCCGCCTGGCGATGAATTCTATCGAAAAGATGGTCTGTCTTTTTTCGAAGTGGATGGTGAGAAACAACCGGTAAGTGAACAGTTAATTCCACTGTGCTCTTTGTTCGCGGATTTCAATGCACATTCCACAAATGATACCCTTTAGTATTAGGTATGCAGGCTACGTGGGGCATGGGTAACTGCTTCTTTTCCGTAGCGAATTCTTTCGCATTTTGCACCACGAAACTGGCTTTCAGGTAACAATGGAACGTTCATTTCGCGACAGTTGGATTCAGTTCACTTCAGTTCTTACAACCATTAACCATGCACTTTCGTGCACTGTTTTGGGTTACTGTCTTTTGGTGCTCCATTTGGATAAAAAAAAGCCGCATAAAGATTGGAACGGTGAAAGCAAATTCAAGCGGAAGATGAAGAATTCAGAGATTGGTGTTGGGAGAATAATGAGTGGACGCACAACCGCCACTGTTCGCGACACCCAGTTTCTCTAGCCATCGGTGAACATCATCTCGCAGCCCCCAGACAGGGAGCCTAACAAGGACTATGTGACCCAGTCTCCTGGTTAGGGTTTTCATGCCTTCATGCCAGGTCCTCGTTTGACCACCCTTTTGCTACAGTCGGGATTCGAACCGAGAACCCTCCGGTTGGAAAGTGAAACCTCACGACCACAGCCAGTCGGGACAAACCCAGGTGTGCATACCATGAACGAGTCTAAACAAGGAAACAGCTGTCCAGTGCTCATTGTTAACCAGCACACGATCATTTTCAATAAAAATATTTGATATAGGGAAACGCTGTTCAAAAGTTAAATTATGTACCCTGTGTTTTTGGAGTATGGGGTTAAGGGTCAACTGATCAAGG